CAGTAAAATGGGTCCCTTGGTCACTCTGATGACTTGAGTTGTCCCGTAGGCAGGCATCAGTTTAGAGACATGGTAAACATGTACAGTCCTGTGTTTAACTGTAGTCCATATGTCTAACCACATGTCTTTGCCCCTGATTGGTCGGGCATGGATAGTCCATTCTTGGGTGGCCCACTGTACAGTCCACAGAGTGAGCCCCCGGTACACAGCCCTACTATCTTTGCAGATATTCAGGATACTGTCACCAGGTTCCTTGGTTATAACCATTCACACAGCTCACAGTTTTGCCCATTGGCTGCTCTGATCATCCCCCTCATCAAACTGAGATTTGTCTTGGTGGAAGGATGGTATGCTATTGCTCTCCACTTGCTCAGGTTGCCCTTGCTGGACCCATCTGTGTAGTAGGCATTTTCAGGAATAGGATATTTTCCCTCCTGAACAGGACTCTTCTCTGGTGGAGCGACCGGTGTTTCTTCTGGTGCATCACTGTGATACGTCACTGGGCCTAGGATCTTCTGAAGTTCTTCCTTTAATGGTGATGAGAATAGACTACTCCTCCGGCTGAGATAAGCGACCCATCGTGCCACCATTTGTGCTTGGGCTACCCCCGTCTTAGGAAGGTGGGTCAGATCTTTTACTCACCCCTTAATTGGCAGAGTGATTTTAACTAAAATTTCAGCCGTTTGAGTTATTGGCTTTACCGCCTGCAATGCAGAATAGACAGCCAATAACTGTTTTTCAGTCATACTGTATCCTTCTTCTGCTCCATGCCAGACCTGAGACCAGAAACCAATGGGGGTCCGAAATGAATTCTGGCATTGCCACAGGCCCCAACCAAAGCCGTCTTGAGTGACGTGAACGTCCAACTCGGCTAGGAGGGTAGGATCAAATATACCCAATGCCTGGGCTTGTTTAACTGCCAGTTTTGCCTGTTGGAAAGCATCCTGTTCTGTTCTCCCCCAGTCCCATAGCTGCCCTTTCTTCCTAAGTCTGTACAGTGGCCTAAGCAGCTGCGGTAAGTGAGGTATAAAGGAGCACCAGTACCAGAATATACCTAAAAATTCCTGTAGCTGCTTTGGTGTTGTAGGGACTGGCAATGCCTGAATCTTATCTATTACAGCACTGGGTAATAATTTGGTTTTTCCTGACCAAGCTACCCCCAGGAATTTTATGGAGAGGCCTGGACCTTGCATCTTCTGAGGATTTATAGCCCATTCTCTTTCCTGCAGATAGGTGGTTAACAAATCTGCTGCTTGTCCTACTGCCTCCAATGAGTTGGATGTTAACAGGATATCATCAATATAATGATGCAAGTTGACATTATCAGGTTTCTTCTGTTTAGCCAGGTCATGCGCTACTAGATTATGACAACATATTGGTGAGTGCACGTACCCTTGTGGCAAGACCTGAAAGGTCCACCTCTGCCTGCCTCCCCATGTAAATGCAAACTGATCTTGCGATTCTTCAGCAACTGGAATACTGAAGAATGCATTTGCCAAATCTCAGACACAATGGTATGTTTTTATCTCTCTCAGTGTGTCTATCAGGGAGGCAATATTGGGTACGGTGGTATGAATAGGCGGCACTACCTTGTTTAACTCTCTGTAGTCTACCGTCATTCTTCATGTTCCATCAGACTTCCGTTCCATATGGGGCCATGTGGGGGAGTAATATGGGCTATGTGCAGGTCTTATAATACCTACTTTTTCTAATTCCTGCACTATTATTGATATTTCATCTTGCCCACCTGGGAGTCTATACTGCCTTACATTAGTAATCCGGCACAGTTTTGGCAGGCAAATAGGCTCATGCTTCACATGGGCTCAATGTTGCCTGCACCGCCCGGATACTAATACATCTTTCTTGGACTCTGAACTCTCCCACAGTTGTCTGAAGAGCCAGACCTGACAGGATAGCTATGCCAAGAATATATTCTTGGACCGGAGCAATAGATACCTTATATTCCTGGGTTGGGAGATGCCCAACCCCCAATTTCAACCAGGTTTGTGTGACTGGAATGGTCTGTTCCCAAAAACATCCAGTCATCACTCTGCCACCATTAAATCTGATCAGATCTCCGTAAATTATTGATGTTTCTGCCCCTTTATCAACAAATGCCATAATTCTCTGGATGCTTTTCCGGGACCAGAATATTGTCAACTCTACATAGGGCCTCCGGTCCCTTCTGGAGGCCCTATGGCGACTAACATCCCTTGTCACGCCATGAACTAAGTCAAAGATAAGTCTTTTGTTTCAGGTGGCTTGGGCATTGTGACCTGAGACATCAGAAGGGGCTTCTTTTTCCTACTGAGAACAGTGAAATCCTCCAGGTTCCATGTCGTTGTGGGTACTCTTTCCGTAACTCTGACCCTTGGTTTCTTATGGTAATTTTGGAATTTCTGATTATCCTTCAGCTGTCTCCACATCTGAAGGAGGATGTGATTGGGCTGGTGCTCAGTTTTTGCAAATTGGACCCCAGCCTGAATAAGATCAATGAACGTTTGTTTTTGCGAGACTCTTATGGGCCCCAACTGAGGATTCTGTACAGGTGGCTCTTGGTTTTAACTACTGGAAGCACCTCTGCTTCTTCTACTGCTTGAATATTGTGCCTAGTGCACAGACGCTGTCTCCCTCAAAACAGCTACTAACTGGGTAGCCTGTTGAATCAGTCTCCAAGGCCACCAAGGGGTTTAATATGGAAACTAAGGACCCATATAGATGGGAAGAGGCCTGCTGTAAGATAAAATCTAGCATACCTGCCGAAAACGTTACCATATCTGGGCTTTCAAACAAGTCCTCATATATTGCTTCTCTTATGGCCAGCTCACGAATATAATTTTGAAGGTCCTCCATGGAAGACCATAATCCTGTGTTTAATGGAATATCTGATTTGCTCGGCCAAACCATGCGGCATGCTGCCGTTAACCAATCTACTATCAAATGGCTCTCGAACAGCAGCATACAGTCTCTGCCTGAGGGCAGGGTGCACCCTCAGGGTGGCCAACTTTGATACTCTGGCCCATTAACCATGACACCTTCTGTCCCTGAATCCCATAATCTAAGTAACCACGTTGGTACACTCTCTTTTGGCTTCTACCAAAATCGCTGCACCATATCCATTAGTTCTGTTGATGCGTATGGTCTAGTCATTATATGTAAATGTGTTTGGGCAGGGGGCCATTGCTCACGGGACACCCCTGCTGGACTATCTTGTACCTTCTTTGTCTTTTGGGTTATAATAGGATGGAGTTCCAAGGAGTCCATCATAAGTGGAACCTCTAGATCTGATTTAGAGTTTTTATTTTCCTATTCAACCAAGTCTGTTGTTTTAGAGGTGTGGTTTTTATCTATTGAAATATTACAGACCTGACCTACTGGGGGATGTAATGTTGGTCTTTTTCCTGTTAATAGGCTAAGTTCCTATTCCAGTTTTTCAATGCAATCTTTCAGTAACTGGTTTTCACTTTCTAAGGTGTTGGTTCTTATCTCAGCTTGATTTAAGGCATTTAACAGTGGCCATGCCACTGTAGAAGCAGCCAATTGCCGTTCTTTTGTAGTTAGGATGGCTTTGTCTAATCCTTGAAAATATTCTGTCATGAAGAATGGGGAAATATTCCCCATAACACGCAGGGGACTTCATTTCTCAACTGTGGTTGCTAATTGGTAATAAGAAGAACCCAGAAATCCTGGGATCTACCTGGGGATCATTTTATCTAAGGGGGTGATGTTCTCCCCCCTGACCCATTTATAGATGTTCCACAAAAAAGACATTATATCCATTTTAGTCTGCCTGGCTCACTAAATGTACAATTAATAAGCGTACAGAGGTTAGGCTAAGTAGGATTATCACGGTGGAAATAGAATAAATTTTGGTGGAAAGATAATAAATGGAAAATGCTCACTGATGTTATAGACTCTCAATAAACTCCATAAGGAGCAATCTCCAGAAAGAGATTCTTCCTCAGTGGCAGTCAGCACTTAAATGGGGTCTAGAAGAGGTGGAGCCTGGCTCCACCCCTTCCGGTAGCACAGATGAATTGCCTTCACCTGTGCTATTGAAGTTGACTCATTGCTTGCCTCAGGCGGTCAATCAGAGGTTCAGGCTGTGATCAACAGTTCCCATACATATATAAAGTCAAATTGCTCTTGCCTTCCAAAGCATCTTTTCCTTATTGTTTCTGTACTCTCACTGATTTGTTAACCTTTCTGTCTTGTGATTTATCCTTTGATATGTGGGATAATCTTAAGACTAAAAAATGATAGTAAGCCTTACTTTTTTATGTCTGGGGAGCTGAAAGTAATGAGAATCACTTCCAACCCACATAAACAGGTGGGGTTAGTCAGGAAAAGTCAGCTCCACCAGCAGTGCTGATACTCTCTTCTTCCTCTTTTCCCCACTTTAAGTGTATTTCCTCTTTATGTACATATAGATATATGTATATATGTGTTGATCCCACTTCCAGTAGGGAAGTAAACATATCCTTTACATAAAAAGAGAAATAACTAGGTTTCTGGAAGTTCCTGTTGCAGAAGTTGTTCTTTCTGCTGTAATAATTAGCTTTGCATCTGGCTGAACTGCTAACAGACGCCAAACTGTATTGAACAGTGGGAAAAGAAAATAGCTGAAAGTGAGCTGATCTGTGTCATGGTTTTATGATTTTTTGTTATTGGTACTCCACATCATACCATCATGTAGTGCACTGTGAGTTAAAGAGTTAATGCTACAGTTCCGGGCACCAGTCTGGAAGAGAAGAGCTACACCTCCTGGAAGACTTTGCATTCAGAGAGCAGATGTAACTCCTGGCAAGGTCACCTGATGTCCCTTTTTCCATTGGCTCTCCTCCCTGCTGCTCACCTCGACTGCGCATTTCACCTCAGTGTACGGTGAGGCTTTCAGTTCTAAGACACTCTTTTTCTCATCATATTTATTTGCTTCAATTCTAATTATATTGTATTATAGTGTGTTATCTTGCATTCCGATACCGTATTTAGTAAATTAGTTTGTTTCTCCTCAGATTGTTGCTACTGTTTTTAATTATTTTGGGGTTCCCAGGCATGGATCTGCAGATCCCTCCACTCTACTAGTCACTGAACTGGGCTAAACCAGCCCATAAACCATTTGACATTCTTGGTGGAGAATGCGAGCAGAGCTTTTTAATTTTTACAACAAATCTCTCTCTGCTCTCAGAGAGCTTCGTTAGGAATGTTATAATTTGGGGTCTGGCTAATGCTTATCAGGCCTTATTCAATACTATCCCAGAGAGGGAGAGAGTTTCTGAAATTGAGAGAGTCTCGAAGCTGAAAGAGAGTGTCTCAGAGCTCATAGGAAGAATCTCCAGGTCCAGAGGTTCTGTTTCTCCAGACTGAGAGTTTCCAGGAGAGTCTCTGAGCTGAAAGGGAGAGTCTCTGGGAGACAATAGAAAATGAGTGAGAAAGTCTCCAAGCCAAAAAGGAAAGTTTCCAGGAGAGACTCCAAGCTGAGAGGGGTAATCTCCACGTCCAGAAAGAGTCTCCTAGTCAAGAAACAGTGTCTCCAAACAAAAACAGAGCATCTCCGTGTTGAGAGAGTCTCCTAGTTAGGAGAGAGAATCTCAAAAACTGGCAAGAGTGTCTCCAAGCTGAGAAAGAAAGTCTCCAAGCTGAAGGGGAAGATCTCTGATCTGAGAGAAAGTATCTCCAATCTCGACGAGACACCTTTGTATCCAAATGAGACTCCCTTCAATCCAAACTCAACAGATTTCAAACAGAACAAGACACCCTCCAATCTAAATTAAATAGTTTCCAAAACAAACGAGTTCAACTTCAGTGTCAATGAGTCATCCTTCAAGCTGAACAAGACTTCCTCCTAACTGAAGGAAACAGACTCTGAGCTGGAAAGTGAGAGCATTGAAACTGACCAACCTGATCAACTGCAGGAGGCACCAGAATCAATGTTAGTTGTCCCTGTAAGAGGTCGGAAAATGAAACGAATCTCAACTAACTTAGAACAGAAGAAAGAGGAGGAGTAGAAAGTAGAGGAAGCAGACACTGTAAGAGAAGAAGAGGAAAGAGGTCCAGAGTAGCAGCTCCGAGATCCAGGTGAACTGCCCCTGAATCCAGGGGAGGGTCCCTCAATAAGATTACGGTCACCAACACCCAAGAGGGCAACAAGAAGTCCTGGAAGAGTAGGAGGTGAGCAAGACATTGTTACCATTACTTGATTGATCTCTGAAAATGAATGAATTTTGAGGTCTGAGAAAAGACTAATCACCAACGTTGTGACTTGGAAAGCTGCTACAGTCACATGTAAGCACACAAGACTTGAGATTAAGGGGAAGTTGCGGGGGGAACTAGAATTTACTTGTTCTGCATCACGTATAGAAACTACAGAGTCCACAGAAATTCACTATAATAAGTATATTATTTTTCAAAGAGTCTTCATAAACTCTTTTTAAAATAAAATGTAATATTCCTTTTTACCGGATTCAAAATCTGCTATGCCAGGAAGTTTCATGGGGTAACTATTAAATGGAAACAAACAAACAAACAAACAAAAAACACAAAAAGAAGGATTTGTTTCTCAATCAAATGCATTTTTGATGAGGGCAAATAAAATAATGCATAGTCTGTTTCAGTCAGTGCAACAATGAGTGTCAATTACACTTACAAAGATATATGTGGAAGGTTCTCCAGATTCTACAGATGTTGATGTTTTTAGCTAGGGATTATTTTCTTAGGAACTTCGCTCATTCCAGTTCCCTTCAATCTATTTTGAAGTGGTTCATGTAGGCAGAACAAATTATAATCTGTCATTACAATCAAAAAAGATTAGTGCAACTTGAGTAAAAGCCCAACCCCCAAATCAGATTAATTTTTCATCCTTTTTTATTGTCTACAAATTGTAGTGTTTCCTGTTATTGACTTGTCTCAAAGTTTTGGCAGTGCATTTTAAACTATCGCTATATATATCCCATGAAAATTGAATATTTTTACTATTTCTAGTTACACAACAAATAGAGAAGGCACCAATTTCCTCTAGCAGTTAAAGCTTAAAGCTTTGGTAATATATCCAGTCTACTGAATTCAGTTTCTAATGCTGGAATTTTATTTCCAAGAGCTAATTCATTCTTATCTTCAAATAAGATTGGGTGATTTAAGTTAATAAAGTGTTATCTAAAATATGGGCGTATCTCAAAATTTAGCAAAAGTCAAACAAAATCTGACTGGTAAAAAATATTATGAATACAAAAAAATAATGTGAATGGACAAAGGGAGTTAAGTGCTAGCATTTTTAGAAAAGAAATAGGGTACAACCAAATTTCAGTTATAGGATATATTTCTGAAACATTCTACTCCACGGTGGCTGAAATTATGCATAAATTATAAGATTGTGAAATAAAGTCCATGCATCTTTTTAATAACAATTTTTCTGCAATGAAAATTGTTGCTGAAAGCTTAAGAGGATGGATAATTACTGGTAATTAACAGTCTGATTGTGTGAGGTGCTGAGGTCTACTCCATGCTTGAAGAAATTACTGAAAATCATAGAATCACTAGGTTGGAAAGGACCTACAAGATCACCTTGTCCAACCATCCTCCCATCACCATTGCTACCACAAGCCACTAAACCATATCTTGTAGCTCCTCATCTAGACACCTCTTGAACACTGCTAGGGACGGCAACTCCACCACCTCCCTGGGCAGGCCATTCCAGTGCCTGACCACTCCTGAGAGAAAAAGTTTCTCCTTATGTCTAATCTAAATCTCCTCTGGTACGACTTGTGGCCATTTCTTCGGGTCTAGTTTGTTGCTTGGGAGAAGAGGCCGGACCCCTCCTCGTTACAATCTCCCTTCAGGTAGTTGTAGAGTGCAATGAGGTCTCTTCTGAGCCTCCTCCAGACTCAACAATCCTAGCTCCCTCAGCCGCTCCTCATAAGATTTGTGCTCCAGACCCCTCACCAGTTTTGTTGCCTTTCTGTGGACACATTCTAGGGCCTCAGTATCTTTCCTGTAGTGAGGAGCCCAAACCTGGACACAGTACTTGAGGTGCAGCCTCACCAGTGCTGAGTACAGGGGGATGATTACCTCCCTGCTCCTGCTGGCCACACTATTTCTAATGCAGGCCAGGATGCCATTGGCCCTCTTGGCCTCCTGGGCACACTGTCAGCTCATGTTCAGCTGAGCATCAACCAACGCCCCCAGGTCGCTTTCCTCTTCAAAGTTATTGAGCCACTCAACCCCAAGCCTATAGCTCTGCATGTGGTTATTGTGGCCGAAGTGCAGGACCTGATACTTGGCCCTGTTGAACCTCATCCCATTCACCTCAGCCCAGCGATCCAGCTTATCTAGATCCCTCTGAAGGGCCTCCTTACCCTCAGACAGATTGACACTACCTCCCAGCTTGGTGTCATCTACAAACTTACTGAGGGTATACTCAATCCCCTCATCTAGGTCATCAATAAAGATATTAAGCAAGATGGGCCCCAGGGGGATATCACTTGTAACGGGGTCACCAGCTGGACTTAACTCTATTAACCACTACCCACTGGGCACAGCTCTCCACCCAGCTCCTTACCCGAGGAAGGATATACCTGTCCAGGCCACGGGCAGCCAGTATTCTCCCCAGAAGAATACTGTGAGAGACCATGTCAAAGGCTTTGCTAAAGTCTAGGTAGACTACATCAACAGCCTTTCCCTCATCTACCAGGCTGGTCACCCAGTCATAGAAGGAGATGAGGTTGCTCAAGCATGACCCGCCTTTCATGAACCCGTGCTAGCTGGGCCTGATCCCCTGGATGCCATACACATGCTGTGTGATCTCACTCAAGATGATTTGCTCCATAACTTTCCCTGGTACTGAGGTCAGGCTGACAGGCCTGTAGTCCCCTGGATCCTCTTTACAGCCTTTCCTGTAGATGGGAGTCACATCGCAAGCCTCCAATCCTCTGGGACCTCTCCAGACAACCAGGAGCGCAGGTAGATGGCGGAAATTGGCTCAGCAATCACCCCCACCAGCTCCCTCAGCACCCGAGGGTGGAGCCCATCCGGTCCCATGGACTTGTGACAGTCCAGATGGAGGAGGAGCTCTCTAACCATCTCCACCTGAATCACTGGGGGTGTATTCTGCATAGCATTCCAGACTTCAGATCAGGGCATAAAGTGCCCTGAGGATAACTGATCCACCTATTGTACAGATGTACAGGTGGTGTTGAGGACCTTCTCCTTATCCTCAGTGGTCACACTCCCCGCTGCATCAAGTAAAGGATAGAAATTCTCCCTGGTTCTTCTCTTACCGTTGTTGTATTTATAAAAGGATTTCTTATTCTCTTTTACTGCTTTGGCCAATCTGAGTTCAAGTTGGGCTTTTGTCTTCCTAACTTCCTCCCTGCATACCTTAGCAACTTCCTTGTAATCTCCCCAAGAAGCCTGTCCCTTACTCCAGAGGACACAGACTCTCTTTTTCTTCAGGAGTCTCAACAATAATTCCAGATTCATCCACACTGGTCTTCTTTCCCTACGGTTTGCCTTATGGCAGTCAGGAACAGCTTGTTCACATGCCTTTAAGATTTCTATCTTGAGGAGCGTCCAGGCTTCCTGGACCCCTTAATCCTTCAGGAGTGACTCCAAAGGGACCCCTGCGACAAGCGTCCTGAACAGGTCAAAGTCCACCCTCTGGAAGTTCAAGCTAACAGTTTTGCCAGTCAACCTTCTTACATCTCCCAGAATAGAGAATTCTATAATTTCATGTTCGAAATTTTGCCTGCTTACCATTTTTGCAGATCTAAATCCTTTAACACCAGCAGTGAAGTGATGATTCAGATATAATAGATGAAATGGTGGTGTACAGAAACAATATGAACAAAATTAACAAACAGAAGAGAAAATATGCTCATCTAAAATACCTAAAATTCAGGCTTCCAAAATATGGTTGGAGGAGAATATTTTTGTTTAACTGATCTCAGTGCTGTTCTTCTGTTTCATAGTACTTTTTTTAATAATACCGCACTCATCTTTATTTGTAAAACTCTATTGGCAAGCATATCAATTTCAGAATGTTCAGAGGCACAGTTAACTTTGTCCACACTTGTTCACTTCAATAATGTACATTATTTTGAGAGATCTAATGTGCATCTAATGTTGACTGAGTAAGCCACCAGAAGCCAGTGGCAGATTATCAACAATTCAGAAAGCTGACTGGTGATCTAGTCGGTGATCTGACCAGGAGAATGTTTATTTGCAGCACACTGTTTGGCAAATGTTGAGCATAGTAATTTTTCAACTTTAAATCTTATAGCAGAAATTTTACTTTGAATTTTATAATTAGGTTCCAGAAGCTTGGCTAGTAATCAAATAGAAAATTAAAACATTATTGTGTCTCATCAGCAGCTTTATAAGTCATGTCTCTGCATGGGTACTGCATTTACGCTTTCTTCTGTTTGGGATGACATGGAGAAAAGCTGCTCTTTCATTAAGAATGAATGCAACCTGGACAGGCTGAAGAGTTGGGTGGAGAGGAATCTTGTGAGGTTCAGCAATGGCACGTGTAGAGTCCTGCACCTCCTGCACCTCGGGAGGAATAACTGCATGTATCAGTGCAGGTTAGCAGCTAACCTGGGAAGGGAGCTCTGCTGAGAAGAACCTGGATGTCCTGGTGGATAACAGGTTGGCTGTGAGCCTTCAGTGTGTTTTTGTGGCCAGGAAGGCCTATGGTATTGAGGGAGATGATTCTGCCCATCTATTCTGAGGACACATCTGGACTAATGAGTCCAGTTCTGGGCTCCTGAGTTCAGGAAAGACAAGGAACTTCTAGAGAGAGTCCAGCAGGAGGCAACAAAGATGATTAGGGGCCTGAATCATCTCCCTAAGGAGAAAAAGCTGAGAGACCTGGGACTGTTCGGCCTGGAGAAGACTGAGGGGGGATTTTATCAATGCTTATAAATATCTAAAGGGCAGATGACAAGTGAATGGAACCAGGCTCTTTTCAGTGGTACTCAGTGACAGGAAAAGGCTCAACAAGAACAAACTGGAACACAGGAAGTTCCATCTGGATATAAGGAAGAACTTTTCTACTTTGAGAGGGACAGAGCATTGGAACACGCTGTCCATAGAGGTTATGAAGTCTGCTTCTGTGGAGATATTCAAGACCCATCTGGACATCTACCTGTGCAACCTACTGTAGGGAACCTGCTTTA